AAACCGAAAGATACTGTACAGTTAAAATCCTACTTTTTTTTTGTTTTTATGAAACTGTCGCTGATGGTATTTATTGTAACTAAGCGCTCTAATCGACTTTGAAAAGTAACCGTTTTGGTGTTTGTAAACCTTAACTGAAATCATTTATTGCTGTCAAACCTAACAAAGTCAAACTTACAACTAGTTTCTTAACATTGAATAAGCTAAAAATAATAGTTCAAAGAAATATGACCTATAATTGTTGGATTTTGATTGATAGGTGTAGCTCGTGACTTTGGAAGCGCTGGAGAAGACAATGGGTGAATAAGTCAATATTGAGTTTGGTGAAAGTTGTTCGAAGAAAAAAAAGAGAATTGTCTTGCAAGATTGTTTTTGTAAAATGACTCAACAGTTGACTATCAGACAGTCAATTTTTTGTTTAAAACTGTTATAGCATTTTTACTTAATTTTTAACACTATAAGCTGCGTTAAAATTAATCCAAAGAAAAAAATTAATTTTTTTTAAATATTAGAAGCTTTACGTCATCTAATTTTTCTGGTGTCCAAACGTTTTCTGTTTGTTGTCTATCTTATTTCAGCAAAGTATCGCCAATACTGTTCGTCTTATGTAGGTTCTTATCCACCGTTTACTACTTTCGGACAATTATTATTCGGAATAAAATGAATGTTTTGCTTCTTTTTAAAACCATTGTTTTTTTTTTTTTTGCTAAAAGGCATTCAGTGTTAGTTAGGTAAAAAATGTTCTTGAGTTGCTTTTGTCGGTTAACCTTTTATTTCTTTGTACTTCTTGAAAGAATAATCCTTTTGAGGTTATTGACGTAGCGAATAGGCAGAAAAAAGAAAAAAAAACATCATTCATTGCTACCAAAAATTTAAAGAATGACCTTTTGAGGTCCTATGAGCTTAATGCAGTCTGAGCGAAGAAGAATGTATAATTGGTTGATAAGAAGTCAGTGAAACACTGCATGACAGATAAATGAAACTAGACAGGCGTATCAGTTTTTTATCGACGAGGAAAGGAAAATTGAAGATGATGTATTGATTCGACATGCTAGCAATTTGGAAAAGACAAATTGCCGTGCAAAATTGTAGCGATCAGGATGAGATTCGAACTCACGCGGGGAAACCCCAATGGATTAGCAGTCCATCGCCTTAACCACTCGGCCACCTGATCGTGTCAGGGGGTGTCTTATGGTGTACTATTGTTACTAACTTAGTAACGAATGTTTCAATGACGTCCTTTCTGTGTCATTGCATAATATCGGTTGTTCACCGTTTGACAATCAATTTAATATGATGGCCGGTGTTTGTAATTTTGTTTCTGACAAAGCAGAAAAAAAACTAATAAATATATTAACTAAATTCACACCTGAAGTAAAATTAATTTTTCGTTGTTTAGGCACAAAAAACTGTTACAAAAAAAGTAAAGCAATAATTTTGGTTTGATGAGCCTACGTTAATGGTTAACAAACTTATTTTAGAAGTTATGGCAGTTTTAAAGCAACCGTTATCATCGAATTTTATTCTTGATCCAGAGAAGTTAAAAGTTGGAACAGTTTGTGCTTTGTCGCCAATACAGTTTAGTTTTGTTATTTAAAGAAAAACAAAAATAAAAACCAAAATCTAAAAATCCGAATAAATGTAGAGAAAAAAATTTATGTAAAAGTATTTTTCTTTTTAATTAATTATTTTTTGACTATAATTTTAATTGTTTCTGATTATTACAAAATTTAACTAGTCTTCAATTTTGAATGCATACAAATAGTTCAGGCAATAATGTTTTTTTAACTATGATACTGTTGCATAACAACAGTTTACAGGTGTTAAAGTTGATCAAGTTTATGGAATCATTTTTACTTTTTTTTTATTTTAGAGACATCAATGACGGTGCAATAAGCGAAACTGTAGATGGTTCAAGGATGAAGCCAGGAACCAGCGTTACACTGGAAGCCAATGGTACCGAAGCAACACCGGCATATGCTGACCTGTACGACGAGAATTTGGATTGTTGGTGCGTTCACTGTTCAGACTGTTGTGAACGTCAATGTAAAAAATGCAAAAAATGCTGTTGCTGCTGCTGCTGCGGTCCGGTATTGTCGTGTTTAACATGTAAATTCTAGTTCAATTTTTTCAATTTTCTAATTTGTTTTCCTGTCTTTTAGGAGCAAAATAATAAATTGAACCTATTAATCTTTTCTTACTTTCTTAAAAGGAAGAAGAGCGAATAATAATAAATAGCAAAACAAAAAGTTCTTTATGGTTAAGCCAATAAGAGGAATCACTTCGAGACAGTTAGGCGGAAACAATTGAACATCGGTTTTGTATTACAGTTTTCTCTTTCTTTTTTTTTTTTTTT